AAACCCCACGACGGGCCCCCGTCGTGTTCGCGGCGGGGCCGGGGGGATGGGGTGGCGCCTCCCCCTGCGAGGCCGCGACAGGGCGAGCGTGCGCGTCCTCGCAAGGGGGACGTGGCGGCGATTGTGAATCGGATGACTGCACTAGGTGGGGTCCGGAATATGGGGAGGACACTGGAGGGCTGCCCGCCGGCGGCGGTCGCTGGAGCGGGTGGCAACACGGGTGGGATGGCGGCCGTCTATGAGCGGGGGGGAAGGCGCCGCATGTCGTGTGGGGCGATATGCGGACGTAGCTTGTTGGGTTACCCCCATCCGCAAGTGCTCTCGTCCGAGACAGAAAGAAGTTCGTCGATTTCTATCTGCGCATTTGGGACTTGATGCGTGGAAATTAGATCTGTGGGCCGGATTGCGACGAGTGTGCGGCGTGTGATCTAGCTGCTTGCAGATACATCACGTTGATACGTGGAATGATGAGTTGTCCAGTGTCTGGTCGTGCCCACGTAGAGTCAGGTATGGCAAAGCTTTGACTGCGGATAACAGCTCACCGTTGTTATCTCGATTCGAACTTTTGTCCCCCTGTAGAATCATATAATACACTTGATGCAGTCCTAAAGAAAATAGAGAGCATCTGATGGCTTGGCCAGTGAAACCGCTGTGATCTCCCAGCCTCGGAGCCAGCCACTACATGTTCGGTGATACGACTTGACTTGGTGCATCATTTTCGAGATTGCTGTAAGGGGCCTGGCGGAGGGCCACGACAGGTTGCATGCCCAGCCCGCTGACGTCATTTGGCTGACAACCCAAAGGGCAGCGGAGACAGGACAGCAACCAGTTATGGTCCCAGCCAGTGTCGCCTGACCCAATTCATTCGAGGCAATCTCCTGGCTCCTGTCGGTGTCAGCGGTTTCCTGTGAAGGACATTCCGACGCCACGTATAAATACGCGGTGGACCACTCGAATGGGCTCCGCCTCCTTCCCTCGTTCTTTGCTTTCCTCAGCCGTGCGCTGCGCCCGACGGGAGCGAAACTGCGCGGGTGGCCCGACGCCTTCAAAATCGAGGCTGTGCGTCATCTGACGAGCCATTCGAGCCGCCCAGGGCGCGTGACCCGCGAGCTACGAGACGGTCCAAGTTGGCACAGTCGCCAATCCGTTCTGGAGCGTGATCGGCCTCGCCCCGCGGTTGCGATTGTCGTGCGCGGCCTCTGGTTTCCGCGTGCGCGCGACCCGGCGCGACGTGGATCGTCGACGGGTTAATATCTGATTGTGGAGACGCCTTCGCTGGCTGGTGGCCGCCGCAGGATGGGGGTCATGGGCGATCGGCGGTGGCAGCGAGTACGTACGGGACGACTCCGCGTGCGTGCGCGCGCAGGCCCCGGGACGCAGCGACGGCGGGCCGGGGTCGTCCCGTCGGTGGATGTAGGGGGGGTGTACGTGTACAGTGCGCCCGGTGTGTGCGTTCGTGATCGCATGTGTGCTGCTTATCAGTCTTCTATCTCGTCCGACGCAGCTCGATCCAAGCGTGGGGGTGGGGATTGCTCCGTTGGAGGAGCTCGCCGAGGTCTTTTGGAGGGCAGAGGGTGCGCGATGCGGGCCGAGTGGTGGACGAGGAGGTGGCAGCGGGGAGATGCTCATCGCGGCATTGCCCAAGGTGGGGGATTCGCCACTCTTTACGGGGGATAGCTGTTCATCCCACCGGCGGTGGTGGATGGGTCCGTGTAGACTGCCGGCACGAGGTAGGGGCGGATCCTGCGAAGGGAGAGTTGGATTTGTTTCACCGCCGTGGAATGCGCTCTCGTTATGGTGGGCGAGCGTGTGGACAGAGATACTGACATGCTGATGCTGGGACTCTCACCTGAGTCACCCCCACCTCCGCGTCTCGTAAAGTTCTCAGGCGAGGAAAGCCCACCCCGCACAAGGCTCGGAAGGGGCGGTCGGCAGATGTGGGGTGCAGCAGAGAGTCACACTGGCTGTCAGGATGATCCGGAGGAGTAGAGTATATGCGCGGTGAGCAGGCAACGGGTGGGGGGAGTTGCAACGTCCGGATGAGCAGGAGCCGGTGCCGAGGGAGGCCGAGGAAAAACAAACAAGACGGCCGGTTCTGACGAGACGGATCAGATGGGGCGAGCGCGCAGGCGAGTGACGGCAGACGGGCGCCAATTGGAGGAGGAGGAATGCGAGATCGGTGCAGTCTGAGAACCCTGCCGCGCCCTTGCTCCACCCACTCGCAGGACCTGGTGGGACACCCATGCGGTCCACCGCGCGACAGGCCACCTATCGTACATCCTCGCCCCTTCGGGTTCCAGGTCCGACGAGGAGGAGGAGAGGCCCCGAGGCTCCGTCCGAAAATGCTCGCGAAATTTCTGCCTGCACCGTCGCGCTCGTCCGCCGCTGTCAGGCGGCTGGGGAGAGGCTGGCCCGGAGAGCCGATCGCACTCCACGGGGGAGGCCCCGTCCTCGTCGGCTTCCTGCATGATGTCACGCTCATCTCGCCTCCTCCCCCACTTTATAAATCCCCGTCCATTTGTCCGTCCGACCCCGTCCTCCCTTCGTCTTCTGCTGCTGCTGTTGCTCCTCCCTCACCTCCAACTCGTCACTTCCTCCTCCCCCGACGCTCCGCCTTCCTCTTCCTCCCCCACAATCCCAGGCCAACTCAATCCACAATGGCCGTTCTCTTCTACATGTACGCATCCTCCTCACTCTTTCCCTCCGCTCCGTCTCATTCTTCTCCCTCTGCAGGCAGGGCGTGCCCATCGGCTACATGGCCATCGCCCTCGCCGTCCTCGCGTCCATGGGTGGTGTGAGTCCCACCTCTCTCCAATCAACATTAATCTCACACGCAGGCTGACACGCTTTTTCGCGTCATCATATAGTTCATCTTTGGGGTAAGTCATCTCATCACTGCCCGGCAACGGCTCCCTCGGGGATACATCCCATCGCCGCAGCACATCGACCGTGTCCGTCAGCCGCGCGCCTTCATGTCTCCATCATTCCGCTTCGGAGCTGCATTTCCGCGCACTCGCTCGCCGCTCCAACGGCTAACGCCTCACCTCCCATGCCCAGACTCCCTCAGCGTAGCGTCGGATCCCCGACCAGCCGTCCTACCTCCACCAGCCTCTCACCCCGTTTGTTCTCGGTTCGCTGACCGCGTTTTTTTTCTTCTTCCTAGTATGACACAGGCCAAATCTCCGACATTCTCATCATGCCAAACTTCCTCGAGCGTTTCGGCACGCCTGGCCCACAAGGCTACTCGTTCGGTATCGTGCGCGAGGGCCTGATCGTCGCCCTGCTCAGCATCGGCACGCTCGTCGGGTCCCTCCTTGGAGCGCCGTGAGTGTCTTCTCTTCGTTTCCCTTCCCACCCCGCATTCGGCCTCTGTGCCAGTCCACCTTGTGTGGTGCTGTGGTATCGATCCGTCATCTCTCTTGCATTCGGAATCCATGCGCAGCCTAATTTATCCATCCACCGATCTACATGGATCGTCCCTCGCACGCTGATGCCATGCTATACTTACCCCTCCCACCGAGATTACCCCACACTCCTCCCCGCTTTTGTCACACGCGTGCTCATTCCTTCCCCAGAACCGCTGACTTTCTCGGGCGTCGCTATGCGATGTCGGCAGAGTGCCTCGTGTTCTCCATCGGAGTCATCGTCCAGATCACGTCGACATACTCGTGGCAGCAGTTTGCCGTCGGGCGGCTCATTTCTGGACTGGGTGTCGGATCTCTCAGTGCAGCGGTACCCATGTACCAGGCAGAGACTGCACCTAGTCAGATTCGCGGTACGTTGACAGCGACCTACCAGTTGTTCATCACATTCGGTATCCTCGTCGCCTGTGAGTCCCATCCCCACCCGTTTGTTATGCTCGACTGTTAACTAGCAACACCTAGACTGTATTTCCATCGGGGCGCGCGACATCTCCGGCGCCGGCTCATGGCGCACGGTGGTCGGCATCTCGTTCGTGTGGCCGGCAATCCTCGGCTTTGGAATCCTCTTCATGCCAGAGTCGCCTCGCTGGCTCACGCGTCAGGGCAGGTATGACGAGGCGCGGCGATCCCTCGCGCGTGCACGCGGTATCTCCGTCGCTGAGGCACAGGAACACTTCGTCATTCAGCGCGAGATGGAGGAAATGCGCGAGGCGGTAGAATTCGAGAAGGGCGTGGAGGCAGGCTGGTTAGACTGCTTCACGCTGGAGAGGAAGCAGCTGTACAGAACGTGTCTGAGTGCGTTTTCCCATCTACGCGTCTCGCTGATGTTTGTGCTGACTTGCCACATGATTGCAGTTTCGACGCTGCAGATGTTCCAGCAGCTGACGGGTGCCAACTACTTTTTCTACGTCAGTCATATTTCTCTTTCAACCGGGGTTATTTTACTAAAGGCGATGTTCAGTATGGCGCGACGGTCTTCCAATCTGTCGGTATCAGCGACTCGTACGTCACGCAGATTATCCTCGGCGCGGTCAACTTTGGTTGCACGTTCGGCGGCCTCTACGTAATGGAGAGGGTGGGTGTTCCTCAGAGTGTCGCTCATGCCATGACACTGACCATGCTGCCGTCTACAGTTTGGCCGGCGTTTACCTCTTATCATCGGCGGCATCTGGCAATCTTGCTGGCTGTTCGTGTTTGCCGCCGCCGGTACCGCGAAGGATCCATCCACCAACGAGGGCATCGGCAAGCTGATGATAGTCTCCGCGTGTCTGTTCATCCTCGGGTACGCAATGACCTGGGCGCCGGGCGTGTGGATCCTCGTCGGCGAGACGTTCCCCACGCGCACGCGCGCGAAGCAGGCCGCGATCTCGACGGCGAGCAACTGGCTGTGGAACTTCCTCATCGCGTTCTTCACGCCATTCATCACCAAGGCGATCGCCTTCCGGTACGGGTTCGTCTTTGCGGCGTGCAACCTGACGGGCGCGATCATCGTGTACTTCTTCCTGTACGAGTCGTCGGACCTCTCGCTGGAGAGCGTCGACATGGTGCGTCGTCTCTGTTTGCCGGGGGTTCTTCTTTCGTTGCTGACGGCCGGTGGCGCGCGCAGATGTACAGCGACCCCACGTGCAAGCCGTGGACGTCGCGGACGTGGGCGCCCGCGGGGTTTAACTCGCGCGCGGACCTCATCGAGCAGAGCCGCGCGGCGGAGGCGCACAAGCCGCTCGCGACAGCGACCGAGGAGCGGCTCGAGAAAGCAAGCGACAATTTACCCGCGAAGGTCTGAGCCGGGTCGCCCGGCGGTTGCGGGCTGCGTGCTCAGCAGACGGCGTGCCGGTGTGCATTGTTGCTAGAGTGGGTGGAGGGCGGGTGCTGTGTGAGTTAGACTCTAGAGTCTAGACGGAGCGGTGCGAGGGAGGGAGGGGGGGGGAGAGACGGAAAGTATGGTGTACGATCAACGCTAAACGCAAACGCTCGACTATCTTATGTTATATCTTAATCCTGCAGTCGTCTCGATGTCATGATGTGCGTGTATGTACGAGTAGTGCGGCCGGCGGCGGCTGCTTTGGACGGCGTTTTGAGTCTGCTCTGAATGCACGGCGCGGTTCGTTTGTAGTTGGAGGAGCCGCGCTCGTCTGGGAAATATTAACAGTTGCATACCATTTGCACCGTCAGTTTGCTGATATGTCCTCCTCCGCCTTGGGATCCATACCAGGGCGCCACGCTCTCAGCGATGCGAGACCTTTGCCCGAGGATCCTTGGCGATCTCCTCGATGGCATCCAAGTTGGAGAGCGTGGACCTTCGTCTCCAGCGGCCGGGCGGTGGCAATGCCCGTCCGTCCGTCCGTGTGTATCCGCCACCGATCCCACGTACTGCAACGACGTCGGGTGTACACAAGTCATGCATGTGCATACTCGGCAGCGACGCGTGAGTGGCCTCCTCAGCTGGCTCAACATTCTGCCCGTGCCTATTTGCCTGGCGCCCCAAGCAGAAGTTGGGCCACAGTCGAGCTCAGGCCGACGGCGTTGCTAACCAAGCTCGAGTCCAGAGAAACGGACCGTCCGATCGGGTCTATCGCAGCCAGGGCTGTTCGCACTACAGGCACACGTGTGCTCGTCCGGACTCAAGTGCCACCGCGCGCGGAGACTCGACGTCGCCCGGCGCACGACGCTGGCGGAGCGGGCTGGCTCTCTCGTGCTGGTCTTGACCGCGCCCTGCCGTGGGTCACTCGAACCGCACCCCTTGTGGTCGGCAGGCTACGGTGTCCCGAATCCAGCAGAGAGCGCGGAGGCCGGCCGCGCACGGTCTTGACTTCTCGCGCGCCGGAGCGAGCGATGCCGCCCGTGGATGCACGGAGACCGGGAGGGGGAAGCAATACCGGATGATGTTTGCCCGAGCGCGAGCGCTCTGGGACATAATGCACAAGTACCCGGACCAGGCCCATCGCGGCGCGGACAGCGTCGTTCCGGACGCCCGCCCCGTGCGCGGAGCTGGCCGCCAAAAACGACCGTGTGTGTCTTGCCGGACGGTGCCCGCCTCACGAGATCTAGAGTCGTGCGCGCGCGCGACGAGAGACACGTATGCCTGTGCACCAGCCGCAGCTATCAGAGACAGAAAACTCGCGCTGCTTCGTTCGTACCACCGCTGGGTTTCGGGGGATAGGTGGCACGACGGACACCGGCCGCAGTCGACTTCTGCCTATCCGATGGGGGTGGGGTTAGAGGGGCGCACGCTCCGTGCGTAGCTGGAAGTCCGAGGCGCGCGACGCCGGGGGGGGAGGGGGGGAGGGTCTGGGAGATTTGTCCATCTTTCAATTGGCGGAGCCCGTAGTATGTCTCGATCGATCCTCAGCCTGTCATTCGCAAAGAGCCGCATCCCTTTCCCAGCAGTCATCCGCACCTCGACACTCTGGAGGGGACGACGTCGGATGCGCCTCCGATTCGAGGGGAGACATGCGCAGCGCCCTGGACCTCCCACTGGTAGGACAAGCTTAGAGCAGGTCTGATTTTCTGCGTATGGGAAGGTCGAGAGGCCACCGCTTGGCTCAGTAGCCTGCGCTATCTGGGCGTAGCGACCAGACTCAGATGGTGGCTCTGGAGTTGGGACAGAGGTCAATTACTGAGTCCACAGTGACACCGTTCATAAGTCGTACTCTATTAGTCTGTGCTCATGGCGCCTAATGAGGATGAGCCCGGCACCAAAACTCGCTATGGGTCGCTAGCCTGGTCATATCCTGTAGATCAAGGGTTTCCGAGACAAACACCACAGTCCGAGTGATTCCAGCTCAAGGATGATCTAGAATTTAGAGATACACACACAGGGAGCTGGGTAGACGTACGTCTTCAATTTCGCCGGCTCGTCTGAGCTTCCGCAGAGTCTCTATACCTTCTGCTGCAACACTCCCCACATTCGGACTCTTTCCGCCATCGTGGCGCTGAGTTGAGCTGGACGAGCTCGTCGCGGAGATCCTCTTCGAAGAGCGCCTTGTCATCGCGGTGCCAGCACCTAAATGCGGGGTGACCCTCGGCGATGTCGCTCGCGGTCCACACAATACGGAGCTAGTCGACTTTGCGCTGGGTCTCGTTTGCGCAGAGGATGCAGAAACGAAATCCTAGGGGTACTACCCGTCTATGGTATAAAAGCAGACAGCGTCGCGCGCTCCAAGCCACTCCGGTGGAGCCACCTCCGAAAGACGCTGTATCACACAGACTGTCATAGTCCATTCAGAGTATTATATTTCGTCCTCCGAGCCTTTCACGACCTCTCTCCCAGCCCAGGTGCAGCTCCGTGTTGGTTGGTCATATCCGTCCCATCCGCACAAAGGGTCTGGAGCAGGCATTCAAGAGGGCCCATTTCCCGCTTTCGACGCGCGCCTCCGCGTTTTCCACCGCAATGACTACCGCAGCTACCGTACGTGTCTCCAGTCCCTCCTTCAGCACATCTCACCCCGTTCACTGGTCTGCACCTGGGCAGGCCCCGCAGGTATCGTGCCGCCTGCCTCAGGCCGTAGTCGTCTCTAACGTTACCCAGGATAACACCAACGGCGTGTCTGCGTCCGGTGCGCCCGTTCCGGTCGGATGGTCCGCCGACATCGTCCTCTACGACACCGTGCGCGAGATGCTCGCCGAGTCGACCGGGCTGGCGGTCGACAGCGTCGAGCTCGTCGAGCTCGCCGGCCCCCGCTATGTCTTCCGCTCTGGCGAGGACCACTATATTTACAACAGTATCAGCCAGGACGGGGCGCGCATCACGACCTCGCACGGCAGAGATGCAGTGTTCAAGGAGCTGGCGGAGGACTTTGACGGGATACGGTATGAAGTGCTGGAGGTGTCGAACGACGGCGACCTTGAGCGTTGACTGTGAGTCTATCGAGGCGCGGAGCCTGGGCGGAGACGTGTGTCGCTGTTGTACGATGAATTCGTGGTCTGGGTGAGATGTCTCCTTTGTTCCGTTGCTGTATTCCTCCGCGCTCGTACTTTCTTCTCGACTAGGACTTACATGTATTTGTGTGTCCTTCGAGCTTTGGACCCTGTGGTCGGCGACAGTTCGTCTCGTACCCAAACGTGTCAGATCAGTGACAAGTGACAGTGCTTATTGACGACTCGTAGGAGCCCGAGAAAGTCTCTCATGCGAATAGACAAGGCATTGCACAGCTGATGGCCGGCCACGCCTCGCTTCGAGAGATGACTACATACATAGTTAGTTCCATCAAGAGGGCAAGACGCACCTGAAGCAAGCGGCTCCGATGTAGCCCTAGATATGGGTCACGCGATCCTAGCACGAGCCATCCAAGCTCATCCAAGTGTGGGGCTGTCTAAACGTCACCTTCTGGCCAGTGGCCTTTGACCTCACGTACATGTTGGGCGCCGGTGAACATTATGTTATGAATTTGCCTGCGCGCTCTGTAATTTCTGTAGAATATGCCAAGGAGACCGGATGGACATTCGGTGCAGCCATAGCATTCCTGAACTTGCTAGTGCGTCGTTCTTCTCTGGCCATTCAAATGACTCCGTATCCACCAGTACCTCTCGCACTGGCCGATGTACCACAGTGAGAAGCTTACAAGAGTCTGGCACAGAAAGGGCTCAAATGTCCACCGATCCCTTTCTGTGCCAGACTATATATCTTTCTTTACATCAAAATGCCCCCGACGGGAATCTGGTTTACGACAATTCATCGCTCGACTCTTGCGTTTCTTGATACCGCGCATCATATGATGGAGGGATTTCTTCTCATAAGGGGCGCCTCGTCCTACCAGCGCACCTCAATAAATGAAGATGCCAGTGTGTACTATAGTGTTTGGAAAGGACGAGTTGGCGCTATCATCAGTGCCTCTCACAAGAGTCACAACCGGCCCTCTCTCCTCGACAAGACCTCTGACCAATCCCATCTCCCGGGCCTGCATCGGCCTCGTCACAGTCGCTTATATAGACAAGAGCCCTCAGAAATCGATGCTTATTCGTAGAATACAAACAACAAATTACACAACACAACGCTTCATTGCTACTATACCCGACCCACTGGCCCCTCAGTCCAGCTCAGCATCAAGCAATGCACGCACCAAAAGCGCACGAGTGCGGTGCCAGGTGTCGCGGCTGCTACCGTCGCGATCGGGCTCACTGCCCTGATGGGAGAATCGCCCTTCCTCGCCACGGCCATATTGTCCCACCTCGGCATCTTCAGCAAACATTCTCCTTGCGTGCGGGAGTGGAGGGAGTGGCTTATTGCGATTCGATGGTGGCTTTGGCCTAGGCTGATCAAAGGGATTTGGGAGTTCATCAAATGAGGTGGGCCGATTGTCTGCCTGTGAGTACACATGCTGGTCTGGGTAGTGATTGAGGCGGTGGTAGACCTCCTGTTGGAGCAAGTGACTCTTTAACGCCTGGGGCTTGTCTGGGACTTTAGGCTTCCTGGAGCCGCCAGCTCTACGATTGCCGATGCGTCAAGTCCGGATTACACCATAGAGGCACAAGCGCACTCACGAGATGGCAAAGGCGGGAGCGATGACAAGAGACCCCAACCCAACGACTGTCGAAACGCGCATTACAATAATAGTAAGAGGCGTAGTTTGTCGTGAATCGTAAACGAACGGCTCAAGTCAAGCTGCAGGTAGCCTTTCAGCATATAGAAGTAATAAAAAAATGGGACAACACTCACTATCCAGTACCTGAACTTGGGGAAATGGGCGAGCACAGATCAACTGGGGGCTGAAGAGCCTCGTTGACATCAATGGACGCATTTTATGCTGGTCTCTATGGCCGTTCTCCCGGCCAAGCACTGCTTTCCACAGACATGGAATCTTGAATAATATGTTGCACTTTGGTGAAACCATTGATGGCAATATCTCAGACTTGCCGTAGATAATCACGGTAGTCACGGGTTGCAAGAGTTCCACTCCTGGATGGACCTGCCAATTAGACTCACAGGCCAGTTGGACTTAGAAGCGGAGTTCAAAAGTCAGAACAGCTGGGTACGAGCCTACCTGCCAATGTTTCATCCCAACCACGAGACTCGGGAGAGGAATCGCGACGGCGACCGCTTTGTCTTCTTCCAGATGGTTGCGAGCGTCGTGCGCTGAACTAAGTACGTATTCGCCCAAACACCAGACAGCCAGAACTTGACCGCGATCACGGCCCAGATAAACTTGAATCTGGTGTCGGATGAACTACTAGTCACTTACTGCCTACTGTATGTAGCACCATCGTGATGCGAAGCTCCCTGATCTCTGCGATTGGTGAGCTTGCGCATCTTGCTTTTTTCAAATTCGAGAACTCGGAGTTGCCGACACGAATCTTTGTGTAAATGAACCACTCACGTCTCGCCTGCTGCTTCTCTAAACCACTGATGACCGGCAAGTCTGGAAGCGAGCCGCATTTGATAATAATAATCGAACATTCTCACCGCGGACACCACCTTGCTCGCGCTTGTCCTATACCGTCGTGGACTGCATTGCTGTAAAGTTGACTACTTACGGTGAGTTTCCTATGCCTCCTCCTTGAAGGCTCCTTCCCTCCAAATGCCGCCTGTCCGAACTCGGCTGCCTCCCAACTGCCTTCGCACCGCAGCCTCCCGTCTTCGCGCTTCCTACGACCTGACACGCTCGCCCCTGCCAGGCGGCAGTGGTCAATCCGCTTTGCTCGAGGATAAGTGGGAGTTACTACCTTTACTTCAAAGTTGACGCCCACGTTCGGAAATTACGCGGCCACCGCCGATGGAGGTGAGAGGACTAGCACGGGTGAACTCAAGTAAATGCAGAGAGACCGGCTCATCGCGGCCAGGGGTGCTCTTAACGTATTGCACGACGCGCGCATTCATAAACATTAGCGACTCGGTGTGCGGTGAAACGTTCACCGACGCGACGACGACTGCCTGACTTCAGCTCTCATGAGAGCAGTCGGGCATGGACAGAGGGGCAGACGCCGCGGAGCAGAGCTTGCAGGAGACGCATGCCGGGAGAAGACAACTCCCCAAGGCAGTGACTGAGATCGCCATCACCATGCAGTCTGGCGACTCAGTCCGTCAGAAATGCTCGCTGCATATGGCAGGAAATGTTTGAAGATGCACGCGAGGACGAACTGTCTCGTTGAGATGTTCCTACCGCGCAGGAGTTGGCGGAAGCCTGAACAGTGAACTCGGCCCTTGTAAAGTGGCTTCACGATGTTGATGCGATGCCTGCGACTGAATTATTGTTCGAGTCTGCCGACGAAGCGAAGTCTTGGGGTCCCCACAACAAGGACGACGCACGGGGCGGATCATCCGGTGGCGAGGCCGCTCTGCTCGCCGTCGGCGGGAACAGTGCGGGTTCGGTCAGGGAATCTTCGTGAGCGTTGTGCTGTTGAGAGGTGCGTACGAAGATGCATGGTCTTCCGGCGAACATATGGACTGTGAGGGAACGTCTGGAGAAGGTGCCCGAAGGCATGAAGAGCATCCAAAGGCTGTTCAAAGAGAAAGAACAAGTGTATGTGCTTCTAGACTTTGACTTGGTTGTTACTAGCCATTCTCGTTGACGTCATCGTATATATGGCCTTCAACCAGTTCAATTGACAAGTTATGTGTCCTTATGATATCCGAACCAATACTGTCTTAAAAGAAAGGGTGAATGTTGCACAGCGTCGGATATTGTCATAGATTCTTCTCGCATGGTGTCAATAACGATAAAAAGGTACAACGACAGCGCAAGATCGACAAATTAGATCGGAGATAAATATTCTCAATAAATTCGAAGCGTAGCACAAATACACCAAGATGTGGTCGCTGGCGTCTGTTCATAGCATTTGTCGATCCTGATGAGCACTCATGCGCTCGTTCACTGCGCACTAGTAGTCTTCTTCATGCCAAATGCGTGTGTGACACCCGAGACGGTTCCATGTCTGTCCCTGCTCTCGATTTCGGAATGGTGGGTCGAGTGAATGGACTCGGCAGAGTGTGAGCGCAGGCTCGCACCAGGGCCGGGGCCATACGTTGAGTGCTTGTATGCGTTGACAAAGCCCCTATGCACCCGAACAGATGGGTGCGCGGAAAGACACAAGAAGAGCCAGAGCGTAAATGAGAAAAGCACGGGTGTACACAATCAGAAAAAGGGCTAGCAGAAGAGACAGATACACGCACCGCTGTGTGGCGTCAAGGTAGTCGTCGCGGTCCATGCGCTTTTTTGTCTTCACGGACATGCCTTGCCTGGAGATATCGACGCCACGGTTTTTCAGCCTGTAAAACGAGATGAATAACACAGACGAGGCGGGTCAGCCTGAGGCATATAAAGGAGACGCAAAGAACGCACGATTCCTTCGTCGCCTGTACTGCGCTGCGTGTCGCCTTGTTCATGTACAGCAACGCACAGACGATGGCGGCCGCTATGGATAGCGTCTGGGAGCACGTCAAGGAGTGCATAAGTGCGGACAGAACTCAGGGGGAAGGCGTACGAGGGTCAGGGAGAGAAAATCAATCCTATCAAACGCGAATTGACCCCTAAGCCTCTCCAGGTAAAAGGGAAACACGCACCAGTTTGCCATAGCAATTCGCGAAATCCAAGAAGGATGCACAAAATTTTTTGCAAAACCGTCTCTAGACAAAAGCAGTTCTCCTTTGACTCCGCAAAGCGTTGTCAACGAACGGTGATGGGAGACCTTCGAGCAGGAGTAGTCGTCGGCAGTCGGAGAGCTCGTGAGCGGAAAAATATTAAGACAGAGAGCGTGGGTGTAGAGTAGGAGGGGTAGAAGGGGAGTGTGTATATACGCAGGGAGAGGGAACAAGAAAAGCTGGGCGGCGGCAGTGCTCGCCTGTGTCCCACTGATGATCGCATTTGGGCGCATCCGAAGCGCTCGAGGGCGGCCCGCCTGAGATATGTCGGTCTCCCCGCCACCACATGCGCATAGATAGATTCACTGTCTAATCTGGCTTTACACAAGCACCACCAACTCTTAGCATTTTGCCATGTAGCAGGCCGGTTGATCTCTGAACCACTACGGGTGCAGCAACAATACGCTTACTCCCCGGCAGGCTAGTCCACTTGGATACGTAGGGGCACTGCTTTACTGTCGATTAATATTATCTTGATAGGCAAACGCTAGTACTCAGAACAAGGGGTGCACATCTACAAGCTGGATCGCTTGGATTCGGTGACGCTTGGTGGGTCGCAAATACTATGAGAGAATAAAAAGTAGCATCCCACACCAACAAAGCAGTCACGACTTCAACTCGTCATATCGCTCACGCATTCCCATATGCCCTTGAGGTTCTCCTTCCACAATGTGACTTTTCCATCGCCACAGCTTACCGCTAAAATGTTGCCCGTAAGGCTCCATGATACGCGCCAGACGACATCCGGGAACTTCCCAGACGCAGGCGCCCCGCCCGCCGGCACGGTCAGCGCAGATGACGGGTCGAGCGCCGTCTTCGCCCAAGACGACGTTGGGGTATCTTTCGTCCAAATGAGCACAGTCTTGTCCTGCATCGGGCAAGATGAGATGTGCAGTGTCTCAAGAAACATATTCACGCACCTGGGAAGCAGTGGCAATATAGCTCCTCGGCAGGCCGATATTCGGTGCCCAGGCGACGTCACGCACCCAGTCAGTATGCCCATCAAGAACCTCCTCTTCGACCCATGCCTGCGTGTCGTCACGGAACCCCCAGATCTTAACGAGGTTGTCGCAGCCCGCGCTCGCAAAACGCTTCACACTCTGCGGCGCAGCAGGTGGCTGCCCTGGGAGCGTCGTGCCCGACTGTGGTGCGATGAGTGAGCCAGGCTGCACGGCGGGCGCCCACGAGACGGCATTGCAACCGATGGCATGGCCCTCGAAGACATCCGCGCCCCATTGGCCATCGTCTGCGACACGACGGAGACGTGAGGCCTGGATGAATGCACAGTGCATACATACGCACTTTTGAATGTCAGGACAGAAATTGTTCCATCCGAAGACGCGCATGCGAGGATGGCACCGAGTTCGTGGGGTGCCCACGAGACAGAGTTGACTGTATGCGTGTGTCAACAGTTATGCAGAGAAAGCATGGGAGGGACAAAATGTTGCACACCTGACGCTTTATGTAGTGTATGCTCCTTAATCTTCGCCCACCCTCCCGCAGACGGACCTTGTGCTGGCTGTTCTTTCCAAATTATTACTTTGCCATCATACGAGCATGATGCCAGTATGTGTCCAAACTTTGGGTGTGCCCAGGCAACCTGCCACACAGGTCCTGTGTGCCTTTTCAAGGTCATAGCCCAAATTCACGTTCGATGTGACATTCAATACATAAGCATATTAATAAAGGGTGTACGTATGGCAGAAAGTGCACTCACCCTTTGAGCGTTTGCACCGCCTTCGGGGGCTCCCCATCTACCACGTCGAACACTCGCACCGTTCGGTCAGAAGAACACGTCGCGAGTCGTTTGCCGTAGTAGTCAAGCTGGGCATCGTGCTGCAATACATTCAGTCTTCATAAAGACGCGTCCCCGCGCAGTGAAGCAGACGTACAATCATGTCCTCATGGCATGTTTCTATCGGGGCCGGGTCCGCCGCATTTGTTGTGGACGGCTGTGAGGAGACAGTTCAGCAGAGTAGGAAGAACGGGAAGGGTATACTTTCACCATTTTGCTCGCAACAGCGTGTATATGGAGGAGGAAGAGGCGACGTGGTCAATGACATTGATTGGTTCGGGACGCCTGGAAAGCGTATCGGATCGATTATCACGTGATTCAGTTCGTTTGGAGCTCAAGCGCTAGCCTCCAAGTTATTGTAACTTAGTAAGTACAGTAAGTACTGTTATCGTGAGCAATTGCCGGAGTTCAGCGGATGGTTCGACCACCGAACTTCGGCAGTTGCCCGGTGTAAGGCGCTGGCCTCCGCTACATGGTCATGTTCACTTCACATCCACTGCGTAGTCGGTCGCCATTGTCTACTATAGCTCGCATCACGTCTCGTTTGTGTCTGACTCTAAGCTGACGTTTTAAACATCGCTGAGAGCTGCGATAACGTAATCCGAGCGAACAATCCAACACCTTCAATATTCAGTTAACCGCGACTCATTGACTGGTTTTTTGTCTGCTGTATATATGCGGGTACTTACAGCTGCTTCCGCCCTCAAATGTGTAGCACCAGAATTTGCAGCATAAAGTGGGTACTCTATTTTGAATTTGCCATACCCGGTCTTGTACTGTGTCTGACTACAATACCAACTTCTCTCTCTCCCTCCCTCCCCCCCCCTCTCACTCTCACTCTCACTCTCAAGTGTACATCTTATACACAGCAGTTCACTGCAATGCTGGCTTGTATCTCTTTCATAAGTCTTCTAATGTCAATTCTTCAGCTCGCCATGAGCAGTTGGACCGATGTGATTTATTGTACTGCTTTCATGTCCATGACTCCGTGCTCCTGGGTGCGCCATTGGAATGCCATCATATCTCAACACAGCCACAATTGCGATTGGGGCGAAACATTCTAGAAACAATCCCTCAGTCCAGCGCATCAAAAAGTGAGCCCAACATGTTTTCAAGAGTGCCGATGCTGATCCCAATCCTCATCTCATCAAAGTTTTCTTGATCACGGAAGCGCTCCTCATCGCCATGACGGATTTTTGATTGTTGTGATGACGGTAAAACTGCTTCTCCTTGTTGTCAGCTGAGACCATATCATAGCCAATATCATAGCCACGAATACTTCTCCTCGGTAGGGTTAGCAGACACTTGAAATCGCCACTCTCAGAGGATTCGGGATAATTTCCCGGATAAACAGGTGGAGAATCTTTAAGGAGTTAAAGCTTTAGAAGGCGAGGATGACGTACTCTGTCGGCCAGGTTTTTCACCAATTCATTGATAGCCACAGCCACAGCCATCTTCATGTCAGCTGAAAGGACTGCGCAACTTGTGGCCATGAGCCTCAGCATAGTCAGCACAGACAGCGAGTGCTTGCTACAGAGCACTTCCAGGATAAGTCGGAATCTTCCCCGCCCTCTTGACCTTTAGGGCCTGTTCGGCATGAAAGCACACGCATGTACTTGTGTGCGCTTCAGAGGTATACGTAAATATGTGCAAATAAACTAGAGTCACGCTCTATATAAGGCAATCACGTACACTCACTCACTTAGACTCGCAGGCCAGTCGGACTCAGAACGCGTCCTCCATTTTCGTCCATGGCTGATGGGAAAGGACATGCGGAGTACGAAAATGCAGAACGCGTTCTGATGAACAGCAGCGGAGTTGGCATTCAGAACGGCTGGGCATGAGCCTACATCCCACAAAGCTCAGTATCAGCACTGTCTTTTCTTTCTGGTGTAAGCAGCAGCTTTCATCCACATTGTTTGCTATCCCCATTCTTGCAGATCCTTCCTATGACTGAGAACCATCATATATCATACCTCAATCTTAACCCAGAGGAAGGCATGGTGGTATTGATAGGATAAACACGAATGGATTCATGATGATCGAGGCATTGCACAACGATGGGCTCCGAGTTTGAACGTTGCGTCACAGCCTGATGGAGGTGACTTGGACATAGTCACACCAGGTCACATATACCAAGTTCTCCGAAAGCACAAGTACACGTTCCCGGGACGTGTGCTTTCATGGCGAACAGGCCCTTAGATCTTGCGATGGATGCAGATTCTTAAGCAGAACACTTGGCGACGATGGCGACGGAACATAGCGGCTTTCGATCATCAATGATGCTCCATGTTAAATGTTACTTGGTTCTTCTGGAGTCTGAGGAGGTCTGAGGACTGTAACAACGGACGACTTCCCGTAGGAAATCCATATCTGGAACTGAAACGTTTATGAAATTCAGCATCGAAACTTTCTGATTGCAGCCAAGTTCTGGCTGCTAGTGACACACGATGCTCGCGACAGATGAGAGAAAGACAAAGGGATCCGCGACCCTAGACTCTTGCGGTTAGAATGAAACATTGGCGGGGAAGATCCATCAAGAAGCGAAATTTTTATGAATTTACTTATCGCGCCTGTGGCTCTACCGTATCTATGAAGCGAGTCCTTGAGATACTGCATTGTCAAGCCATGGGATCACCAGAGTCATAGCTGAAACACTTAGCACCACTGATCTGGACTCGCACCCGAACGAGTCGAACACCGCTCGTTTGCGGGAGGCCCGGCCGCTCAGCCTCATTAGCGCTTGGCCGGGAGACTACTGGTCATCCTATATAAAAGGCGTTCATCTCTGTCGACGATTCAACTTCAGCTCACAGTTGATCTGTGTTTGCCCGTCCCCCACATTTCAGGTACAGGATAGTGAGTCTCTCACGATATTTCATTGCTCTTGTATTGCTGAAACGTTGTTCACAGCTTGAATTGAAATTGCTTCATTTACGATTCACGACAAACGATACCTCTTATAATTATCATCATGCGTGTCTCGATAGTTTTGAGCTTAGGATCTCTTGTCTTGGCTCCTATCGTCGTCTTGTAAGTCTGCTTCCGAACATCAATGGTATCTGTTCTATAATTAGGATTTACCCACTCGAAGATTGTAGGGCCGGCCACTCAAACCCAAACTACATTACAACGGTTCCGAACCTAAATGTGAAACCAGGCCAAACAATTAGCCATGACGATGTAGGACGTTGGGCCTTGAGGGAGCATGCTCGGCTCTATGGCTCCACCTCCGTTTCGCCCCACGGTCGACCAGTGCCACGGCCGTCAGTTAAATCATCCAAGCAGCCAAAGCTTTCATCTGCGCCAGAACGCAAGCCATCAGGTCAATCCTCCAAGGCGCCACAGCTTTCATCTGCGCCAGGATCCCCGCCACCATATAGTCGTTTTGATGTCGACAAGCCGCTTCCTGCACTCCCGGCAAAGTCACAGAAAAGAATGATTGATGAATATGATAATGACGAGGCAGGGCAATTCTACCATGGTGGTGAGCGATCGCGCGACGCTGCTGAACACTACCATTGGCGTCGCACCCTTCTACTGCGCGCTTTGCTTGACGAGCTGGACTAGGCAAATCGCACGTGGGTTGTGGCGGCGTTGACACATTGGAGGAAGTGCCGTCTTGCGCCCGCTGGAACCTTGCTCGACCACACTCTTGAATCGCGCTGCATCGGCTGCGGAGAAGGTTATCTTTTATGTTCATCCGTTTCCGCACATAATTTGTCAACAGTCTAGCACTAGATAGCAGGGATTGAGTTGGGGTTTCTGTGGAGGGAGCTTTACGAAAGAGTATATATAGTGATAATTAGCAGGGTGGTATACATGCTAGTGAATATTGTCACACACCACCACTCTTAAGCTTCTCCCTGTTCAGTCTTTATGCTGCATTATCACATAGCTCTGGTCGCTCGATGAATCGACTATTGCGTGATTTCGATAACAAGCTATTCATGGTCGACTCTTAGAGCAGAAAGAAAAACTGGAGTAAGCGGGGATCGAACCCGCGTCACGTATGTTACCTCTTCACTACAGTCCCGTGTTACCCAGGGTTTTGTCAGACCTCAGTGTCCTAGTAGTCAGCACTCATAGCATGACTTTATTAGTAGAGGACAACAGATTAGAATTGCTGAATGCAAATACAAAGGACTTGTGGAAGAAGATGAGGAGGACATAGATGGTAGATGGTATGTTGGCATGTATAATCTTCCATAAAAATTTTAAACAGAGTATACGGTGCGCACTGGGAGGCAGGCGTCCCTCGGGTGTCGCGGACGCTTATCGGACGACGTGCCACTTGAACAAATAACAAACAACTCCGGAAAGATCCGGTGATTCGAAACGGGAATCACATCATCGACCCGAGAGAGACCTTGTCAAGGAAGGTAATTATGTTGTGTATTTGCCATTGGGTTGTGTTCCATAAATAATGAGCATCAATTTGTGAGGACTAGTTGTTTGAAACTGATGGTGATGATGAGGATACCGTGTGCGGAAAGGGGGCTGTCGTATCTTCATCGTACGCAGTCTTACGCAGTGTGGACGTATTGAAAATCTTTTGGCAGCTCTGCTACACCATCCTTATTCACCCTCCTTCCCTCCATCCTGTCTGGCAGTCTAATTTGAACTCTGGGCGGCGAAAAATGTGTCTCTGAACTTCCAATTAAGCGAACACTTGACAAGGCTTTGATATCTGTACGATGATTCCTGAATTGTAGGTCTACTTTCTCAACAACAAGGCGGCCTCGCCTCGTGTACGCTAACCACGTCGTCACGCAGGCTGAGGAATCGCGGTGTGTCGTTGTCTCCATACAGAGGATGTCTGTGAAGACGAGGAATCACTGAATACTTGGTCGTGGCAAGCCTGCAACCCACATTGGCCGAATGGGTCCATCCGATTCAATATTCCGGAAACGGGAGCAGGGATAGATACGAAATCATCTCGAGTGCGACGCACGCATTTGGCATGAAGACAACCAGTGTACCGCTGTGCATCAGGCGTCGCAATCGATGCAAAATTGGCGCCGATGACTCGGACTAAATCTTGGCGAATTTGTGTTGAGAATAGTAATCCTCGTACTGGCTTGTAGGTTTTGAAATGCAATTATTTGCGCCCTTTTTTGCCGCCTTGACACTAGGTCTCGGTATGTTGAGTATGCTCAAAGGTAATGCATATTGCAGCTGACCGAGACGCAGGGCGGGGCGTGTGGATAAATACAAAGGCCCTTACCCAGCACACCGTCCTCTGCCCTTCCAGTAAATTCTCCACCTCATTGTCTATGCTCCATTCGCTCTCAATCGAACCTGCCGTCGTCACACCATGGTGCGCCCACATGTACGAACACGCTCACCGCTGTGCAATACGTCGGGAGCACCGCCGGTTGCGATGAGCCGGCCTCTGCATCTCCATCCGTGCGAGCCCTCTCGAACATGATCGTACAGTCAAAGTAGTCTTTGAGCGAGGCAGAGGATTTACTGACGGGGGCAGGTGAGTCGATATTCTGTGAGGAGATTGCGATGAGCCAGTGAGAGCGATCGAGTGAGAAGCGGCGATTGAAGGAGAGGAGGAGCATTGAGAAGAGAAAGATGAAGAGGAAGGCCTACGAGATAAGAATTTTTTAAAACGTAGGCGATATTCTGTAGCAGAGAGAAATGATGGATTGCGTCTGCCGGAGATGGCAAGGAGAAAGGGTATACACCGTTCATGAAAAACGACCGCGGTGAGCATCTGAGTGATATTTACATTTTCATAATGAGTGTCAGGAGCGTCTTGTGCGCCAACGTAAGACGTGTTTCCTGCGAAGAGTGCTTGTAAGTGGGACGTTCATCGAGCTATGCTGCGGAGCACGCTGTTAGACAAGTACACAGCGACAGTCAACATGTTTGCATGGTATTGAGAGGTCCTAGTGCAGAACGTATAATACCTAGCAAGGGTTCAATGCCAGATGATGCTCAGGATTGACGACTTCTCGTAAGACATTGATATCTCGAAGTGAGCAGTTTCCAGATTGCGACCGCGATCGAGGCCAGGTTCTGGCTCCTGGACAAGGACG